CTTCTTAGTGCTTTCAGCTCACATATATCACTAGAAGAACTTTGATCCTAGCAATCAGGATTTACAGGCTATAACATATAAGGCCAAGTGGTTTAACTTGACAATGTTCCATAGACAACACTCATGAAGAGCATTCATTTTGGTGGAGCGTTGGTGAGGAGTTCATGCTTCCCATCCGGAAAGATAAAAATTCAGCATCATGGGAATCTGGAGAGGAAGATAAATCTTGCTTTTTGGAGCAGAGCGAATTGAGGGGAGATGCTAATAAATGCTATGAGCTGCACATCAACTATTAATATCTTCATGGATGTTCTGAAAGACTAAAATTTACTTAAACCCCACAAAAGTTGCACTATGAATATAAGTGAAGGTAGAAAAAAGAGTACCCAGAAGAATCTAAAATTTGTCAGTAGAGTGGGAACTCAATAATACATATCATGTATTATCAAATGTAACGACAATTAATGTCTGAATACCGGTCTACAGTTAAGAGCTCTCATTTCTATTCTCAGCTCTAACACTGACTCATTGTATGGCTTGTAGCATGTCACTTAACAACTTTGGGCCGCAGCTTCTCCATGTGAAAAAAACGGCAGTTAAAATATGAGATAGAGGAACTAGCATTTATTGAGCAACTGTTCTCTGTTGATGTGCTAAGTGATTTATATTATGCTGTATTATTTCATTCATTCATTCAGCAAATATCTGTTGACCACCCAGTATGTACAGACTATTGTGCTTGGCCTCAGGGATCTATCAGACACAAAATAAAGACCTTGCTCTCTTAGAGCTTAAGGTCCAGTAGGGTTGGGTGATAATATACAAACAAACAAAAAAGAAATTACAGAATACTCTCAAATAGTAGCAAGTACTATACAGATCATAAAGCCAGATCACATGATGGAAAGTAACGTGGGGCAGGGTTAGTTATGCAAGATGGGCTCTCTGCGAGGTGACTCTGGAGTTGGGACCTGAATGATGTGAAGCAGCCGGCAGAGTCCAGAGTTCATGGGACAAGATGTGGAGAGGGGAGTTCCAGGTAGACATTCAGTGCAAAGGCTCTGATACAGGTAGAACTAAAAGTGTTTGGAAGGCCAGGTGACTATAGGAGAGTGGATGGGTGGGTGATGGGAGGAAGTGATCCCTGGGTAAGATGGGATTAGAGAGGTAGGCAGGAGCCAGACCACAGGGGCTGCAGTATTTAGGTGTTATTCTGATTGATCTGACTTACACTTTTTAAGAAAACACGAGGTGTATTAAGGAGCATGATTATAGTGGTGCAAGACTGGAGGCAGACAACAGTAGGGAGGCTGTTGTCTCATCTAGATGAGAAAAACTTTCTATAAAGGGTCAGAGAGTAAATATGTTAGGTTTTGTGAGCCACATAAACTCTCTGTCACACATTCTTCTTTGCCTCCTCTCTCTCCTGCTCCTCCTCTTTCTAGTTTTTTTTTCCTTTAACAATTCTCTAAAAATGTAGAAACTATTCTTGGCTTTTGGGTGATTCGAAAACAAGAGGTTGCATACCAGGTGTGGCCTACCTAGCTGGGCAGTAGTTTGCTGAGCCGCAGCTTAGAGAGATGTAGAGACTGTTTGGCATATATTTAGGACACAGAACTGGTAGGACTTGCTGATGAACTAACTCTGTGTAGGGTGGGGGTAAAAGAAAGAGGAAACAAGGATGGCCTCCATGAAGAAGTAGCAGGCGGTGTCGTTTACTAAGATGGGGAAGAGGCAGACTTGGGAGCCGGGGGAGAGGGAAAATCAAGAGTTAAGTATGACTTGCCTATTAGTCATCCAAGTGGAGATGTCAATTATGGAGCCTGATATAGACTCTGGAATTTAGGGGAGAGGTCAGGGCTGGAGATTCACATTTGGGACTTATCAGTCTCTGGATGCATTTAAAGGGTATATGGGAGTTATTGGTCTGTGGATGCTTTTAGTCACGGACTGGACAAGATCACCCAGACAGCAGCACAGAAGATCCAGGACCAGCTCCTGGGGAACCCTAGGACTTAGAGGACCCATAGGAAAGGGCCTTGGCATCACTCTCTGGGTCAAAGAGCATGACACATGACAAATATTGCCAAATTGCTTTCTAAAAGGCTCTTCTGTATCTTCACAGAACCCATCTTGTTTCAGCTATTTAAATACACACCGTGAGTAGGACTGTACACTTGTACGGGCAGGACACCAGAGTTAGGAATCCTTGACTGCTTTTGTGTTGAAGCTGGGGAGCCTCAAGCCACATGGGAGGATTAGGCTGGTTAAAGGAGGCGTGGAGGGGGCCTTAGCTCTTCCAAGGACTCCCAACCACAGAACTGCCCAGCAAGCTTATTACAAATGCAGATTTTTAATAAGACTTTCTGATTCACTGTCTGGGGAGAGGTGTGTTTTAAACATACTCCCTCTCATATAAATGGAAGGTTGACAAACCTGTGGTTAAGGATAGACTGGGTAGAGGCTGTATCGTGGTGACATCTCTTCACCTCCAGAGGCTCCGGAGGCTTCAGCAACCTTAGGTGGATCTGGCTGCGGAAGTTTCAGGATGATGGGATGGCAGAGGACTGTTAGGTCAGGAAAAACTTGTGGGACAGTTTCCATTTGCTTTCCAATTCAGAATGAGGCCTTTTCCCCAAACAGATGTAATCTGTACCTTGTTTAATGCAGACGCAGAGTTTAAAAATTCATATTCCTCAGGAGTATCTACTCTGCTCTCTAGTTCCATAACATAGAGGGGAGATTTTTTTTTTCCTGTGTTCTTACATGGAAACAAGAACACATTTTTCAATTAAACAAAGATATGAATTTTGTTGGTGAAATTGAAATAGTACCTGTACTTTGGATGCATTATAGATTAAACACATGTGTGTGAAAACAGCTAAGGAATAATGGGAAAGACTTGCTGTTAGACCTTCTGCTAGGAGCTAAGGAATTAATCTTGCATTCACTGGACCATTATTTATTGTGCCTTCTAAGTGCCAGGCACTATGTTAGATTCAGAAGATAAAGCAGTGAACAAAACAGACAAAAATCCCTGCCCTCACAAAACAGATATCCTAGTTAGGGAGACAGATTAATAAATGCGGTAAGTAAGTAAAATGTATGTGGCATTATAGTGGTGAGTGCTAGGAAGAAAAATATAAAGGAGGAAAAGGGGACAGGACAAAGCCAGAGGCCAGGATAAGTAAGAATATAGGACAAGAAAGGAACTGAGAGCTGTGACTTAAGAAAGTAACTCACTTTCTCTAAGTCTCATTTTCTTCATCTTTAAAATAATAAATAGTAGCGCCTTCTTGAAGAAGGCTCAGGTACTCAGACTGAATTTGCCACTTTTAAACTACAGGACTGGGTACAAAAGTTGTTTGGCTTCTCAGAACCTCAGTTTCCTCATCTGTAAAATGAACAGACTTGCCCAGCCTACGTCACATGGTTTTTGAAAATGCCAAATGAGATCATTAATATATGTGAAAATATTTTAAAACTTATGAACTATTATTTAAATATAAGATACAAATTTAAAGGAAAAAACACACACGGGTATTTTATGGGTTGCAAATCTCTTGCTGATGGTTAGCAAAACCTCAGGACTAAGAGTAAATAATGACTAGATTAACTGTTTGGTACTTACTGATTCCCTGCACTGGCAGGGAAAAGGCCAATGCAAATTATCAGGATGTACTGAGTAGATTAGCAATCATATCTTGGATCAGTGATAAAATAAACTAAATGTTCCCAAGTGGACACCTCATAAAATAATTATTATATGACATTTGTCAGATTTTAAAATGCTTTACAACTCCTTTATGTTTGTTCTTGTTTTGGCTGTGGGACTTCAGTTTCAGGAAAAGAACTAGGTAGACTGAAAGAATATACAGAACAATTATTTAATTTGGGAGAAGCTGATAGTCCATCTTCTGGGTATTTCAGTAGATGCTCAATAAATTTAATCAAAGTAGATAATTCTAAACGTAGTCTGTTGAGAGTTCCTCTTTCATCTTCCTATTTTCTTCAGCCCTGAATATTTGATAGCTTCTCAGTAACGGTTAAATCAATAAACACGTCGGTATACACGCATGCATGGTATAGTACCTGGCACATAGTTGGTAGTCAAAAAATATTTGTTAAGGGAAAGCATGAAATGATTACCGTGTAAATTTGCTTACTACAGACTAGCAATTTGATCCCTAAAGTGTTTTAAACATTGAAAACACATCAATATTTGCCTTCCCTGGACAACGCTTATCTGGTAAATCGCATTAGGTCTCTCCCACACTGGGCTAAAACAATGTTTTATTACATTTAAATACAGATTCCAAATTTAATTTGAATACTAGCTAGCACAGTAGGTGCTCAACGTTTGCTAAATAAGATGCTAATTCTGAAATCAGTTACTCCAGCCCAAATATCCCGCTCAGGAGCACGAACTGGACTCCTCCCAGCTCACATTCACCAAGTGACCTCTACATTTTCTCTGAAGTTCTGGTCCCCGCTCCCTTAATAGCCAAATTAGAATCTTTCCACTCAGCCTCTCAAAGTTTTCCTCTCAAGTGCTCAATGTCCCAACTGTCACCAAGGTGCTGGGACAGCACGGCCTCTGTCTTCCCCTCCACCCACCACCCCCGCCTCGCCCCGGCCGCCCGCCCGCCCAGGAGGCTGGTGGGCGGGCCCAGCGAAGGGTCTTGTGGCTGTTTCCTATTGGGGTTTAGTTGCCATGGTATCACCGGCCTACAAACTCGCGGGTGCTGTTTCCGGAAGTTAAAGGAGAATTACTTCCAGGGCTGCCCATACTTGCTATGGGCGACTGAGCTGTCACTGAGCTTAACAAAAATAAAACTTTTGCTGGGAGAGTCTAGAAAAATCTCATTTAGCCACTTTAACTTGTGGGCACGATGTGGTATCACATCCTTTCTTCCCTTTTTCAAGATTTACTATACATTTTCATCTATTTGCCAGCCCCCAAAATGGCGCCGGCGGCATTGGAAGGTCAGAGGTGAGTTACGTGGGCCCTCCTGATTCCGGCGCAGTTGAGGCCCAGGGTGGTGAACAGTCTCCGGCACCATGTCTGGTTTGTCTGGCCCACAAGCCCAGCGTGGCCCTTGCCCATTAGCGTTGCTGCTTTTATTCCTGCTCGGCCCCAGCTCCGTCCTCGCCATCTCCTTCCATCTGCCCGTTAACTCCCGCAAGTGCCTCCGCGAGGAGATCCACAAGGACCTGCTGGTGACCGGCGCGTACGAGATCACCGACCAGTCTGGGGGCGCTGGCGGCCTGCGCACCCATCTCAAGGTGCGGCCCTGGGCGGCGCGGGGCGGGGAGGGAGGGAAGACCGCAGGCGTCGGCAAGGTGACTGCGGATCGGGGGAGTCCGGCGGGTAGAGACCTAGAGGGTGGCCTGGCCTCCCGGAGCGCGAAGGGCGCGCCGTCTAGACCGCCCCCTCACCCGGCTCGTTGGCGTTTGCTGGGCGGGGCTGGGCGCCAAAGCCGGGAACCCACTGAAGGGCCGCCAGGCTTTGGCGGATGTGGTGACAGCCGAGCTGTGGCGGCTTCAACTTTGGGTCGTTGTCAGGGGCCTATACCCGTTTTGATCTTAAGTACCTTGAATTGTAACTTGATTCTCCAAAGGAGTCTTTGGATGCCGAGTATTTGTAGGGGCCGGCATCACAGGACACATTGATATCTCCAGGAAAATAACAAATTTACTGTGAATAATAAAAGCTGTTATTTCTTGAGCATTAGCTGTGTGTCAGGTCGTGTGCTGCTGAACACACACGACCATTTAGTTCGTACACTGCCCTATGAAATAGGCACTGCTACCCTCATTTTACATATGAGGAAACTGAGGCTCAGAGAGGGAGTATAACAAACTGGTGTCAGAGCTGGAATTGGTGCTTAGTTTGGGAGTTAAGGGGAAGGAAAAGGGCTGCAATCTTATTCTCTTCTTGCTTTTGTTTGTAATTCCTGTGATTGATTAAAGCCTATTACTGGTCACAAAATATTCTCAGTCTCTAGTCCTTTCCTTTCTGGTACCCCAGAATCTGGACTTGACCAAGTTTTATGTAAATTTCAACGATACTCTTGGATGGTGATAACTGCTACCATCAGGCCATTTTGGTCCCATATTGTAGTTAAGATGACTGGGCCTGATCTTTGAAACATAATATAATTTGATGTCTGTCACGATTTGACTGCATTTTAGGTAGTTTTTTTCATTCACAATAAGCACGTGGTTTTTGTTTTTAACAGGATGGGTCTTAGACTAAACAGGAAGGAACATTTTTACATTTTAATAGAGCTTCAGGTATAAGACTATAATTTTATGCTTAAAGTATTGGAACCCAGTAGTAGTAACAGGAGCAATTTATTTAAACTTTATTTGAAGGATATTAACTATTTTCAGGGCTATTGTACAGTGACCTAGCCTTTTATTATTCTCCTCAGGTACCAGACTTCTGTCTGGCCAAGGCCATGATGGCATCATTTTAGAGGCTTAGATACAACATTTGGTGGCAGTGGGGTGGGGAATCATGCTTTTGGCTCTTCAAAGGATGTAGCGCATAGAATCAGTGAATTTGAGCAACGGAGAGACTTTACTCTTACCTCTAGCCCCCTCTGACTTGTACTTATATTTTAAAACTCTCCAGTGGCTCACTATTACTCATCAGGTATAGTTTAAATATCCCAGCATACTCTATAGTGCTCTTCATAATCTGTTCCTGAAGCTTTATGTGTTTTTCACTCCCCACTTTGCATTTTACATCTGAGCCACCCTGAACAGTACTCTAAATTAACTTATTTTCATCTTACATTATAACTACTTATGTTTATATCTAGTCCTCCTCATTAGACTGTTAGTATCCTGAGGGCAGGAATTATTTTCATGTTCATATTTTTCAGAATGTCAAGCATACTGCCTTGATTCTAGTAAGCACTCAATACAGGAAGCATATAGTGTATCATGGTCTTATGGGAATTACATCTGTATCCAAGGCTGCTGAATGACCTCAACAGCAGGAGTCTGCACCTTCACACTAGTATTTTGCCATCACTCAGTTGCTCTCCTGGGATCTGCTCTATTCTCTTGCCACTAACCTTCTTAATTGAACTACTCTTGGGGTCCTTAACCCAAATGCCAAGTAGGTAACATAAATAAGTGAATTGGGCCAGCTATAAGAAAAATAGCAGTAGTCATGATAAATGGGGGATAATTGGGAGTAGCAGAAACTGTTAATTTGGAGTAGCCAGTACTCATCTCTTGATGTAGGCCTTGTTGCCACATCTGATTTTTCGAATGAAGTCAGAAATTAAGATTTTGGTGTAAAAGCGCCTGAATTTTAAATGTTACCAACTAATTCAGATTGGCTTTGGCATTTATTTTCAGTTTTATAAAGAGTACAGTCAGTCCATGTACACATTACCCAGATTCAACAATTATCAGGATCTTGCTATACTTGTTTCATTGTAACTGCTTCTCTTTTCTCATTTTACGCTAAATTGTTTTAAAGTAAATCCTAGACATCATGGTATTTTAGTCCTTCATACTTCTTAAAAAGTATGAACTTAATCACAATGGTATGTGGCTATAATCATACCTTGCAAAATTAACAATTCCTTAATGCCATCTAATAATACCCACTCTGTAGTGAAATTTCTCCACTTGTCTCAAAAATATCTATTTAAAATTAATTTGTTGTGTCTCTCAAATCTCTTTAAAGCAACCCACTCCCCCTCCCTCTCTCTCTCTCTCTTTCTTAATATGCTTGCACTTATATTGTTGGAGTCAGTGGTCATTAAGGAATGTCCTACATTTTGGATTTGTCTCTTTGCTTCCCTGAGGTGTCATTTAACCAGTTCTGTCCCCCATATTTCTTGTAAAAGGAGTCAGCTGTAAAAATGTAATTAGATTCAGGTTTCTCTTTTTGGTGAGGTTACTTCATGGGCGGTATTGTGGACTTTGTGTGGCATCATGGCAGAGCACACAGTGCTCTTTGTGTCCTTTAGTGCTGCTAACAGAGATCAGTGGGTTCAGGCGTGTATTAGTGTCCTACTGCTACTGTAACGAATTACCGTATACTCAGTGGCTTACAACACACATTTACCTTATAGTTCTAGGTCAGAAGCCCTAAATTCAAGGTGTCAGCAGGGCTGTGCTCCTTCTAGAGGCTCTAGGGAAGAATGCATTTACTTGCCTTTTTTAACTTCTAGACCCCACTTGCATCCTTTAGTCAGTGACTCCTTCCTCCATTCTGAAAGACAGGAGCATAGTATCTCCAAATCTGGCTCTCTCTTTCTCCCACCCACACCTCTCTCCTTCCTCAGCTTCAGTCATCTCATCTCCTCTGAGATGCTTCCCCTTTTCCCTTTTAAGGATTCGTAGTTTAATCCACATCTGCAAAACCCCTTTTGCCATGTAAGATAACAGATTCATAGGTTTTGGAAATTAGGATATGGACATCTCTTGGAGAGTGGGGACATCATCCTGCCTACCAAGGTGGTAACAGCCTGGAGCCTGCAGTGTAAAGCTTCCAATTAATCTTTCACGTATGAATCCATTGATTTCTTGTGTGAATTTATTGCTTCTTTAAGGTTGTGAAATGACTTTCTAATTCTGTTATTCCTTCTATGTTTACTAGCTGGATTATTCTTAAAGAATTCATCAGTTAAGGCCATTTGGTTACCCTAAAATTTGTCATTCGTGAAGGAAAGTTAGGGTAAGTGCAGAATGCATTCCTCCTTATTGACAGTTTTCAAAGTAAGGAATTGTTGTTCTTGCCATTTCTATCGTAGTCTGAAGAAGGTTTTGTTTTGTTTTTTAAGTATTATACTGAAATCATTTTGTGTTATTTGTTTCAAGTTTTAGAGTCACTGTTTTAGTCAGTTGCATTGGTTCTTTATGCTCACTTGTCGCTTTGGCTCCTGTATCCTTTTGACACAGTCCTATTAGGCTTTGATAGCTTCCCTGTTTTGTAGAACTAGGAGTCCTAGGCTCAACCCCTGACCTGGATGCAGCTGTTTCTCCAAGAAGTTCTGGTTTCTTTTTGTGAAGAATGGTATTTTAGAGATCATAAACTCTGGGTGTTGTTTTTAAAAATTTAATATATTATGCAGGCCACAGAACCCATTTGTGGGCATGATCCAGCTCCTTAGCACAGTTTGCAACCTTTCTCATAGCCTCTGCTCACTTAGTTCCTCTTTCTCTTAAATTTTGACCACTCGTGGCCCAGACTGCCTAGGACCCTCTCTGCATTATTTCAACTTCTGAAATGCAGCTCCTGAGTGCAAGAATCTGATTGGTTCAGCTCCTTTTTGTGTGCCAGACCACCTTCTGCGTCTCTGAACAGCCTGTTGATTGTCCTCTCTTTGGTCGTATATCCACCCCTGGTTTAAGCAGCTGTGGTTTGGGTTGAGATTTGGAGAATTGGAGACTTTCTGTAGTGCACAACCTGGCCAGCTGGGCTTGGCATTTAGTTGTTGCTCTGAATGAGGCAGTCTCTCTCTGAAGGATCTTAGTGAATATACTGCCTTGATTGACCTGCCTCATTCACCATCTTCCTGTCAAGGAGCACCATATGTCCGGGAAATAATACATGAGTGTTATCATGTATCACTCTGTGTGTTGTAGTTTTGTGCTTACCCGTCTCCTCATATAGACTTTAAGTTCCTTGAGCAGAGGTTGTGTCTCACTCATCATTGAAATGCCTGTGTCCAATACAGTGCCTGGCACAGAGTAGGACTTCCCACAGAGTAGGATGAATAAACAAATGAATTGGCACTGTCCTAGCCTCATCTCTGATCTTTACCTCTTCCTTCCTCTTCATTTCTTTACTTCTGCTCCTGACTCTAGCTGGTCTGAATACTGGCTTGCAGTTCTTTTAATACAATGTTGTCTTAACTTAGACCAGTCTTTGCCTGTGTGCCCCTCCTTTGTGTTTCCATTGCATCCTGTTTGACATGGCTTACTTTGTGAACTTTTTATTGTCTTATTCATTCTTTGTGTCTTCAGTTTAATGTACTATGTAGGCATTGTTGTACAGCTGAGTTAAATGTCTTAGTCTTACTGAGTCTGGATCTGGAGTCAGATCCAGATTTGGGTTCAAATCCCATCAACTCCAACACTTAAAGGGTGTATGGTTTTAGGGGAATTACTTAACTCTTCTCTTTGGGTCCCTTATCTGTAAGATGGGGATGATAGACCTCATAGAATTGTTAGAAGGACTAATTGAATTGAGTTCTTCATTGTGCAGGGCTCGCTGGGGTGGGCCATAGATGTTAGTCATCTTTCCTTTCTTC